CTTTAGTTGTGACTTACTACACTCTAGTAAGTCACAAACAAAGCTGGCACATCTGAACGAACTGAACTAATGTAGGAGTTGGATCACTAAATCTCCAATAATTTAATGGGCCTACACAAGTGTAACTCAATGTGCTAAGCAGCAGGATTTCAGCCAATATTACTTAACTATATTATAACTTAGTTATTGGGAAAGGGGGATTAATTACGAGTAATTTTGAACTAAGCTCTAAATGCTTCCTACTCCTTGGACATAAAACAGGGTCCAGCCCTCCAATACTGAGGCAAACATATGCATACAACAAAGCTACCTCTGCCATATAAAGGGCTTCCTCCCCATCAGGAATCTTGGCCTTGTTTGTGGATGATGAGCATGTTTAGTATGAGAGAAGTTATGCTAAGTAAGGCCCCCATCACACATTAAAAATCCACAGGCGATAGAATTACCTTAAAATGAATACGATCCATGTATATTATGGGAGTTAACCAAAACCACACTACACCAGAAATGTGTTTCAAATATTAAACTTGGCACCTACTTAACAACATAGCAATCATTTTTCCACAGGGAAAAAAAACCCAGCTACCACCATTATTTGGTTTCAGAACTGAAACTTGGCAGTGGGCCTATACACAAACACCCTCAGGCAGCTGCTTTATATTTCCTCTGAATCAGATTTACCCCAAGTTAATCCCTAGCTTTACACCCACTAAAGAACATAAAAACCTCCTAAGGGAAGTGACCCTCCCAATACCATAACTGTAATCCCCTGCTACCCTCTATAATAGCTAGGACAATGTAAATTTGATGCACCGCTTCACTGCATTCGCAGCCAGACAAACTACAACAATGACGCCAACTGAGATGTCAGCTTCCACATATGTCAACCGTGTCATTGCCAATTGTTGCACCAGAAGTGTCTGGCTACTAAGCTGGTAGAGGAGAATTACTCCTTGATACACCCCCTTAGTTCAGGAAGCTTTAGAAGAGCTATGAAAAGCTTGGAAGCACTCGGTTTAGAGAACCATAGGCACCAACATGGTGGGGGTGGGGATGGGATGGGGACACTATGATTACACCATGAGCAAACATGACATAATCTGAGGATTTTTCTGACTGATGACTTCTACAGTATCAGCAGACACAGAGTAATTGCCACAACAAGCATAGCATCAGAAGCACAAATGGTGACTGACTGAAACCTTTATAGATTTATCTCGGCCCTCCTGAGAGTCATTTGATTCCCCTGATGCTATGGCCCAAATCCAACATTTGCAGTGTAGAACAATCTCCTATCAGCACCATTGCAACACCACGGAAAAAGGCCAGGCTCAAGACATCTTCCAAAGGCTTTTTCGAATCGAGGGTATCCATGGGGAGGAGGGCGAGGCTGATTCGGCTGAACACGCTTCAAGAGTTCTTGAAGCACTGCCCAATAGCTGCATGCTTAGCATCCTTTTACATGTGCACTGTTTCCAGCCCAGAAAAGAATCTATCTAAATTATATATTCAACAAATGGCTACCCATATATTTTCCATTTGAAAGGCTGTATGCTCTTACATGTAGCTATAAATGAAGTAGGTTGAATCCAGACTTTCCACGTGTTGCTCTGCTGGAGAAAAGATGGGGAGATGTTTTTTAAATGCACCTTCCTCCCCTTAGTTCTATCCTGTTTGGATGATTGTAATGTGCTCCATATGGGGCTGCCGTTGGAAAGTGCTCAGCAACATCCACAGGCCGAAAATGCTGCAGCCAGATTGTTAACTGTAACTGATGACAGGGATCATATAAGGCCCCTGTCACAACAGCTCAACTGACTGCTGCTCCATTTCTGCGCACAATTTAAAGTGCTGGTTTTGGTCTTAAACAGTTTGGGTCCAAGCTATCTCAAAGACCGCATCTTCCCATATGAGTCTGCCTGTCATCATCGTTGGCACTACAGCCGACTTGCTTATCATTTTTATAGCACTGGTGTCTGTAAAAAGCACTAAGTAAGAGGTTGACATTGCCATTCAGTATACTGTTATTAATTTCAAAACCTTCTGTGAATAAACTAAGGATGTAACCATAAATATACTTACAAGGAAATAATTGTCATTGAATGGTACAGGTCATAATTAAACATACACAGCACTGTACTGTAATTTTACTCTTAGGATTTCACAAACAAAGACTTAAATCTTGTTGATTACTATGCACTAGAGTAGGCCCATTGAGTCAGTTGAGATTTGATGAGTCAGCTCTTCTATAAGTTCAACTGATCGGAAATGGGCCTACTTTAGATGTGACTTGCTATGCTAGAGTAAGTCATTTTTTTAAAAAAATAGGCACTTTTGAATCAATGGAATTTATGGAGGAGTTGATTCAACAAATCTGCACTAATTAAATGGGCCTACTTCTAGTGTAATTTCTTATGCTAAGCAACAGGATTTTAGCCAAAACTTCAAAAAATTATTTCTATTTCATTCTATTGGTTTTCCCACACACACTACTGCATAAAGCACCAAATAGCTTTAACATCAGATCTGACTGGATGTTATAATGAGCAGCTTTCGTAGGTTAAAGTACTGTGTGAGAATCTCTTAATCATATACTTCATGAAGACCCCATTTTGTTTGGTTGTTGCATGGCTGCCTATGTGATTCTGATTTAAAATCTTCCCAACTACTAGCCAACTCTGCTTTTACATTATGCATGTTTTGAGGATAACATAGGTATAAAATATACCTTTCAGAAAGAAGTTCAACATTACAGGCTTAAGGCATATAGAAAACATGAAGGAAAGGTGTTCTCTTGTGTGTAGCATTTCTCTTCTCCTTTTTCCTCAGCTCCTGAAAAGGTGAGGACTACTGACTGTTCACTACTGACCAATTATTAGCAGCTCAAACAGAGATCTTCTCCACTGCCAGAATGTATTTTTTTTTCTCTCAGCAGTGCTCCTTCTGGTAATTGGGTTCAAGTTTTAACATCACCAGACTCCAACTGTATCTTTTGTAAGAGCATGGTTTCTATTCTAAATGGTATTTTCAGAGGAATATTAACAGCCCATCGTTCTGCTTCACTGTGTGATGACAGCAGAGTGCAGGAAGTGACACAGCAATTCTAGCATTTACACAGCAAGACAATACCGTACGTCTCCCCCATTTTCTACCATGGTACCGCAGGAGCACTTGGCATGTGGTTCATCGCCTCAAGTCTTAATATGATGCATCTGAGGCCAGAAAGAGACATTAGAGATAGCCCTTGATCAGAAGGGGAAAATCCTTAACTAATGAAATAATTTTGTCTCACAGCACGAGTTCCTCTTGTCTCTAGGAGATATGCAAATAGGTTTGCTTCGTCTGGTGACTGGTCTCCAGGACTTGAGACACAGGTTTCTTTGAAGTTGGATTTCACAAACCAGGAATGACTCCCTCAATCATTGCTCTGCAGTGTTGATGTGTGTTTAACTCTAATCACTATTTGTTTCGACTGCTACTTGTTTCTGGCCTCCCACTTCATTTATAACAGATACTGGTGGAAGGAGAGACATTGGCCAACACTTATAAGGCCAACAGAGAGGGTGAATAAGTAGACTCAAAACCTCAGTGCCACAGTTCTTTCTGCAGAATGTTGTATCTGTTCAGAACACAAAAGGCATACGGGCTGCATGACCAGGCATTTTGGATTTGGCTCCAAAGCTGTTAGTGAGAGTCTATTGAACGGTAAGTTAGTGTTTTCATTATTATCACCACAATCTGGTATGCAATCTTGCTAGGGAAGTAAATGAGGAAACAGAAAACTTGATTAAAATCAGTTATTTCACTCCTCCACCATATAGGGGATTAGCAAAGGCCAACATGTGAAAGGACATTGGAGTAGCCCTGTTTCCACAGTCCCACTATAAAACTATACCTACAATTCTTATTTTTAAATGAAAGATGGGGAATCAGCTATGGAAAGGAGAGGGAGAAAGAGGATTTTGGCCCAGTACCACTCTTCATAAAATGTAATTTTCAGCTATAGTGGCCTAAATATGTTAATCTCCCAGAGCAGATACTGTATGTGGTATAGTAAGAATATGAACCTTGCAGCTTCCTGCCCTCAGTGGGAAACAAAGAGCAAATTCTCTTATCTCATAACAGTCAGTTAAATTTTGCCCTTAAAAATATCACGGCATTTATCTGAAGTTTGCTGGTCATTCTTCTGGAACAAAAGCCAAACTGCACCTGGTTATTACAATTGCGGCACAAAATCCAATCTTTCTTCTGCAGAATTCACCGAAAACAGCTTAACGCTGTGCAAAACCCAACCATGTTCTGTGCAGAATCACAAACAAAAAAGAGCTAGCAAAAATAGGGGTGGGGGGGAGAATGAGACCAGGGTCTTGTTGTTGCAGGAAGCTGGTATATCTTAAATTGGTGCAAGGAAAAGGCCTGGCAGTGAGTCCTGGCATTGCAAAACCAGGAAATCACCAAAAACAAGACCTCCTTGAGTACTTAACATGTCTTTAGTGGACAGTTCATTAAGGTTTCATGATATCTATGTAGACACAAGGTTTCCCTAGTATCTATCTAGATAGGAGTTGGTAAGAAATGAGGGCTGCATTTTGTGGAAAGATGGGAGTTTATCTTTATAAGTGATTATTCCAGACTTCTCCACATAAAAATATTAATTCCCATATGAATGAGTTTAATTAGAAAATGATTTAAAAATCTTTGTAACTATATAAAATGTGAAAATGTTTACCACAGATGGTATTTCTGGTTATTTAACTCACTTGAACATTTTGCTTATTATTTTAGACAAGCCAGTCTAAAAAGCGATAGTTCTTTCAGCTGTGCAAACAGCTACTGACTATTTAATCCCATAGAGCTGGGCAGTGAATCAACTATGTGTTGGGCTCCACAAAAGGAGAACTAATTTGATTTCTGTTAAATGAAACTGCAGTATCAGAAGACTCCAAACAGCAAAACATTTTGCCTAGCTCTTAAAGAAAAACTACATCATGGGTTATTACCTTGATATGTCTTTTAGTTCTTGATCAATCTCTTGGACCTTCAGCCAATACCCATCTGCAAGTTTCTCAAATTCTGCAAACACTGATGCTTTCAGATCAGGATAGGGGCACTCCAAAGCCAGTAACTGTGGTGGTATTTCATGCATGAGTGCAGTCCTGTCTTTTGAGGAACATATCAATGCCTACAATAAAGTCAGATGACAAAGGTATAAGACAAACAGTTCTGGTTCTTCTTACTGTAAGTCAGGTAAAGGAGATAAACTTACATCATGGGTGAATTCTTCAAGTTCTTGCTCCAAAGCTACTCTTTCAAAGTGAAGCTTTTCCAAAATTACCTTCTGTTGTTTCTTCACAAATTCTACCTAATTTTTAAGAAATACTGTTTTAATAAGTGAAAATGAAGTTGTGGCAAATGCTCCCCACATCTTGATGCAGGGCGAGACACAACATTGTTCAACTGTTCCCTTGATTTTTATTCTGCTCCTCTTTCAAGAACTTTAAGGTAACATAAATAGTTCCCCCCATACCTTTTTAAAAAAGAATCTTACAACAACCCTAGGACAGGGAGGCTTAAAGAGAGTCAATGGCCCAAGTAAACATTGCAACTAAGTAGAAATTTGAACCATTTCCCCCACTGCTTCTAATCCTACACTCCAGCCACTACGCCACCTTGGCTCTCCCTAATGGCACAATTCAATTCACTAAGATAGTCTGACATGCATGAACAGTCCCTTTGTGCCTGAGGGGCCCAAACAGACCATAAACCTTCTAAGCGGGCATGAGGCAACAAGCAGAGATTCTTCTCTCACTAGTACATATGACTGGGGAAAGGGAGGAAAAGAAGCAACACATTTATGTTTCAACAGAACTCTAGGAGTAAGATGCTCCATCATACAATTGAAACAGTCAGTCCCTCACAACTAGGCAGGCTGGCATGAATACAGGGGTGTTTTTTTGTTTTTGTTTTGTTTTTTGTTCCTGGAGCCTGTAGAGACACAAAGAAGCAGCACACAAAATGTCAAAATAGACAAGAGAGTAATGCCTCTCTCATTTCTAACAATTGCCCTCTCTGGATGATTTAAAAAATAGTTAAGACTATTTCATCCCATTTTTACAGCATATAGAAAGGCTAGCAGTTCTAGGTTGTTTATATGCAACCTATTTTCTGAGGGAGACCAGAGGGCATGAATGTGGAGACTGTTGCAATGAGCTCCCCAACCTGTTGGACTTGCGTCCGTGGTTATTTGCATGGTGAGTTGAAGTGGTGTAAAAAGTCTGCCAATGAATAGATTGTGTGGTGTGTTCCACCATTCTAGCTGGGCTGCTAGTTCGGCTGTGACTCTCAGTAACATCGTGGGAGAGTCTGATATTGGAGAGGGAGATACCATGCCTGCAAAGAGTGCATTTTGAGGCATGTGTGCTGAATCACTGATGCTGTCAATGCCATGAGTCCGAGTAGTCGTTGGCCATGGTGTGCGGTGACCAAAGTGTGGGGACAGAATTGCTGAATCGCATTGTACAGTTTCATAGCCTGTTCTTGGGGAAGAAAGGCTCTCACTGATCAAGAATTTAGAATTGCCCCAATGTAGTTCACCCGTTGTGAATGAATGAGTGTAGATTTGGTTTGATTGACCCTTCGGTCCAGATTCTCTAGGAGGAAGAGTAAGGTCTATGCTGTGCAGAGCTTGAAGATGGAAGGCAGCTATGAGTAACCAGTCATCTATGTAAGGGAAGATGGAAATCCCTCGTGTGTGGAGATAGGCTGACACAGGGGCCATGCACTTTGTCAAAATGCGAGGAGTGGTAGAAAGTCCAAATGGGAGGGCTTTGAATTTGTAAACAGTGTTTCCTAGTGAGAATCTGAGAAATTTTCTGTGATTGTGACGAATATTGATGTGAAAATAGGCGTCTGTTAGGTCTATTACTGCGAACCAGTCGCCTTGCTGAAGGAGTGGTAGGATGTGTTCTAAGGTTACCATGTGGAAATGGTGATGGAAAATGTGATAATTGAGATCTCGTAGGTCGAGGATAGCGCGAAGGCCTCCGTATTTTTTTGGGTACTGTGAAGTACCTTGAGAAAAAACCTGGTTTGTCGCCTAATGGAAAGACTAGTGATTTGCATCTCAAGAGGAGGGATAGGACCTCGATATCCAGGATTTGAGACAGTGCGGTAAGGACAGTTCTTGATGGCAGGAAGGTCGCGAATTCTATGGCATAACCTGTGGCGATGATGGTGAATACCCATTTGTCTGTGGTGATGGTCGCCCACTATGTGAAATGAGGTGCTAGGTGAGTCAAATAAGTACGAGGGGAGTGAAGAGTAGAGAACTGGGCTGGATAAGAGTCAAAAATTTTGCTTTGGTTTTTTGTCAGGTCTACAAAAGGACTGACGTGGACGTTGGCACTGATTGTTCTGGCAAGGCTGGAAGGATGAGACAGACTGAGGTAAGTATCTCTGTCAACAAATGGTTTGTATTGTTGGTAGGGATATGGTTGACACCATTGATAGCATTGTGGTTTGTAGTAGGGTTGTGTATTATAAGATCTTGCAGTTTTTCTCATTTTCTGCAGGTTGTCAAGAATTTAATCAGTCTTGGTATCTAAGAGGCCGACCCAGTCAAAGGGTAAGTCCTCAATACGCATGCGGGAATCATCAGAAATATGTGCAGAGCGTGACCAGGCATGCCTTCTAAGGGTGACAGCAATGGCTATGTGTCTTGAGGCAGCCTCTATGATATGTCTAGCCGTGATGCACTCTTGGTGAGCTAAAGCCATTGCTTCCTGATGGAAGGCTAGGCCTCTTGGTTTATATTCAGTGGAATTGTGCAGTATTTTTAGTATATATACTTTTGTTGTTACTTCAGAAAGAAAATGTATGTAGCATTTATAGTGGCGCTGTTGATTAGATGATTTTAGCTTACATACAGAGGACAGTCAGTTGAATATATTTATATGTAAATTTGAGGAAATAGCTTTGCTGTAATTCTTTGCATAAATGACAGTCTTATTTGACAATACTGTTCTAGACGCCAAGCCCACCTGTGTGTTCTTGCATCCAATTGTGATGAGCCCATGTATGTCAAGCTGGTTGAAGCCCTTTGTGCTGAACATCAAATCAACCTGATAAAGGTAATGATTTTGCACTTTTTTTTTACAGTTAGTAGTGTAAGGCAACATCAGTTTTTTATTTGTTCTGTAAGGTCTTTGAGGTGTGTAAAGTGCATACCTTGAACTTAGTACGTGGCTTCTCAGGAAGTAGACTTTAGTCTATGAAAGCTCACACTGAAATGAAGCCACAATTTTTACAGTAAAATACTACAGTATTTTTCTTTTTTCTTTTACCACCATTCCAAGACACAGACTTAACATGTCTACTTCTTTGGAAACTGCTTTTATTGGTTTTGTCTATGCTGTACAGTGATGATAACTTGGCTCCCTCTACTGAGACTTGTGAGGAAAACAACCATAAACGTTACCCTATATGTCTGAGTGTACAGCATTCTTTAAGTCTGTTCTTACTGGTTTATATCAAATACTCGTCCAATTGAATGCAAATGTCTTTGACAGGTTGATGACAACAAGAAGCTGGGTGAATGGGTAGGTCTCTGCAAGATCGACAGAGAAGGAAAACCCCGCAAAGTTGTGGGCTGCAGTTGTGTGGTTGTCAAAGACTATGGCAAAGAATCTCAGGCCAAAGATGTCATCGAAGAGTACTTCAAGTGCAAGAAATGAACAAATAAAATATGTTTGAGCCTGAAAAAAAAAAGAAGTGGAATGCTGATCTCTGAGTAATAATAAGAGTATTGAGGTTGTTTAGGTTCGACATAAACTTCCATATCAGGATGTCCGTAGCGGTATTGGTGGTGTCGATATCGTGATGATGGCATTTGATAATAAGTGGGCAGCTTGTATAGAGTAACCCTTTTAGGATGACTGTATCGCGTATGAGAATCATGCAATGCAAGAGTTCCTGTCGATCCCTGAGGGTGAGGGGCACCGACATCAAAGTGACCAGTCTCTGGTGTATGATGTGTCTTCCTGGACCACTTGTGCGGTGGTTACAGATCAGACAAAGTAGATGCTGAATCTGACTGACACATGGAGACGGAGCAACCTAAAGGGCCCGATTGGTCATATTTTGGAAGCACAGTAACGTCAGCCAAATTATTGGCCCAAGATGGGGACTGTGCCACCAGAGGTGATGGTAGTTGTCCTGATGGTGGAGGGAGATAATCATCATCGTCTACCGAAACAGAATCAAAACAGATACTGTAGTCTGCTGCTCATGAAGTGGTATCGAAGAGACCGGTCTGTCTTTCTGATTTTAATAGTCCATGCAGCAGAAGATGACTTTTGGGATTTCTTCGAGTTCAGCTGCTGTTCCGGTACCAAGGGAGATTTTAGTACTGCTGTAGATTTGGGTGTCGAACCACCAGACTTAGTTTTGGTAGGCAGTTTAGCCTTGGCTTTGGACTTTACTGAGGAGGCCACAGAAGCATCCAGAGATGGTAATGGAGGTGGTGGTGGCTGTACGGATTCCATATTCGGTGAATGGCGAAGAGAACATTCCCACAATTAAGAACAGAGACACTGCTGTCTTAATGTTAGAGCCTGCTTAGTAAACTTCTTGCAAATAGGGCAAGAAGCTGGCTGATGGGCCTCGCTGAGGCAGAAGAGACAAGAGTTGTGGCCGTCGGTCAGAGGAATTTTACTGGGGCACGAAGTGCACCTTTTGAAAGGCCCAGAAGAGGCCATAAACTATGAAAAAGGGTTAAGGAGAGTGAAAACAGGAGAAAAGGGGGGCAGTGGAGAGGAGAAAAAAGCACAAAGTCTCCCACAAATTCCTTTTGAATGCAATAGCGAACGGAGCTCGTCGAAGAGAAGAAACCTTAGCGAAAGCAAAAAGGAACTGAGGCAATTGCCAGGCTGGGCGGACCATGTGTACTAGGGGGCGATCCCAGCAAACAGTGTTGAGCTCTAGAAGATTCCGGAAACCTCTGTGCAGGCACAGATAAAACCCATTAGTGTGCATTCACAGAGACCACAAAGAAGAACCTGTTCCCCACCCTAACATTCACAGAGACCACGAAGAAGAACCTGTTTTCCACCCTAACACCAGAAAATGATAAGTACCAGAAAATGAAAAACTTTACACTACTGTAAAATCAAAATAAAATAGAAAAATGAACCTCGGACTTGGAAATACATTGCTAAAGCCACAACTTAATTAAGCAGTTGATTCTGCAGGGACAACAGCTCTAATAAGGTAATTTCCTGCTGACATGCAGTGCTAAATATGTGGTGGTGACATGGATGCATATGTAAGTCCTGTCTCTGAATGTATCTACGTATACAACTGGCAACATCTTAGACCTCTCTATGGAGACCTGCAGAGGATTCTGTAACTGTGTTTGGACGATAGGTCCTATGACTGTAACATTTTGATGATAGTCCTATGACTTATCAGGACTCCCCAATCACAGGAGCTCTGCAACAATGTTACACTGAAGACAATATATCTGTGAAGATTCCCAGTCATCCAGGTGAGGTTATCTGACAGTTGAGTCATGTGCATACATGTGCATATAGAAAATCCCTCACTCAAGAGGGGTGGAGGCCCCTATTTATCATCCTGCCCTTTCATCCATCCCTAGAAAGATTAGGGCACACATACCAGAAAGACCACTGTTAATGACTGTTAATGACCCATGACAATAGGTGGAGGACAGCAGAAGTGGGATTATCCTTCACCCCTAGTCCTTTGTCTGAGACTATTCAGACCAGAGGGAAATTAAACCAATGTGGAGGATATATCAGGTCTCCTACCAACTCTCCTCTGACTGAAGAAGCTACTTGGATAAGCAGGCTGTTTCAACCTAACAAGAAAGAAGTCCATTTGCCATGACTCAACTTCCAGATGCACTGAATACAGTTACAAAGCAATCTGCAGACCTCTGCACTCAACATGTGAAGGTCTAGGACACAATCAGGTGCATGGGAATATTCTGCAACAGGGCTTTTATATGTGCCAGACTCCCCACAATACATTACTGTACATGCCAGCAAGCAAATCAACATTAATGGAAATACTGTACTGTGGATATTGCATTAAGCTTTCGTAGTTAACATAATGGTTTCCAATGTGTAGCCCTTCAGATGTCTTGGACATTAACTCCCAGAATGCCTGATCCTTGGTCACGCTGACTCAGGCTTATGGGAAATGAAGTCCAAAAAAATCAGAAGGGCCAAAAAGAAAGAATCACTGTAATATAAGACAAGAAGCAAGATTAAGGCAGGGAAATTAAGCAGTCTTAAGAAACTGAAATCTACAACCAGTTGTCTAGTCCATAAAACACTGGCTTCCATGATTACACGCAACCTTTCTCTCCTTTGTCCAGTTTTGCACAAGCAAAGAAAAATAACAGGCATATTATAACAAACATTAAATAAACGGGATGATGGAATCTCTACAGAATTACTGATTTACCAACCTCTTCTACCACTGCATCTGGACTGAACTCATATTCTGGGCATTCACGGTTTGTCTGCATTTCCAACAGTCTGTACCTTAAATCTTCTCTTAATTGCCAAATAGGCTGCACTGTATTAGCTTGAAATTCATCCAAATCTCTTGATAATTTGTATCCTAGAAGAAGTTTAATACATATTAAGGGTTTTGTTCAGCTAAAGCGTCAAACATCAGAGTCAGTCATTAATAGTTTATTACAGGATGCATTTCTAATATAAGACATATCTTCCAGAAGAAGGAGATTTTCATTCTTCTTGAATTAAAGAATTAGGCTCTGCAAAGAACAAAAAGTGAATGAAGATGGAGCTCCTGCATATGTCTTTTGTATGGCTGTTGACGACCATCTGAGGGAAGGCCAAAAGAGAGAGGATGTTTACAGAGTTCACTCAGTTCACTCTTCTTAACTGCTGCATAGACAAGTTTGCAAAGAGCTGAAATTCAGAAACTTCCAGGAGCGTCAAGTGAGAGATGGTCCCTCCTTGTTCTTGGACAGCTGCCTTCTGAATTCTACAGCAACACACGATAGGTAGCAGACAGATCTGGTAGTAGCATCAGAGAAGATCTGTGAAGGGATGGAATGACTACACTGCACCCTTCACCCTATTTGCCCCCCCCCCATCCTGAGAACATTCATCGTTACTTAGGGAAAGAGATGTTCCATTTTGGCAAAGCACTGGTAGAAATGACTGATATCACTGCCTCTTTGAGGGTGTTCTCTGACTTAAGCTCTCTAGGGAGATGTTCCATTTTGGCAAAGCACTGGTAAAATGACTGGTATCACTGCCTCTTTGAGGGTGTTCTCTGGCTTAAGCTCTATAGTTTGGACATCCTCATTCTACTGCTTCATCTCCCTCCTTTTCTAGCCACCTTCTTTGTTGGATCAATCCATCTCATAATCAGACAAGACTCTGCATACATCATAACTGATGGTTCATTCTTTGGATGCACAGGCGTTCTGTGGGCACTCCAGCTTCTCTCCCCCGCTTCCTCTGGTAGGCATCTACTCAAGAGGAGGAGGTGAGGCAGAGAAGCCCAGGACTCTGCCTCTGAGTAGGCCCCTCCAGGAGGAAGCAGAGGAGGGAAGCCAGTGTGTCCATGGAACACCTGTGCATCCAAAGAATGAACCATTACGAACCACCAAAATGGCAGTTCATGCCCATCTCTAATCACTATCCTAAGTTATCTTTTGTTGCTCTTCAAACGTGATAGCACTCAGTTGGATCCAACAGGTTTGTGGCAAGTGAAACGTCTCCAGGTTCTGCAAGTTTCCCAAGAGACCAGGAAGTGGACATATATCATTTTCCAAGTCTCCAAAGAAGAGACACTGCAACATCTAGAACCGCTTCCCAAAGACATAGGCGTTCTTTCCAAAGTACAAAGCAAATTTCTGGACAAAGTAAGGCACCTTCTTATGGTCAGGACTGATTTTCTTCTCCCCAGGGAAAAAGTATCACTACAGTTAAAATGGACATTAAGCTGAATGGTTGCAGTGATGGGTGTGTGCCCAAATCCTTTTGTCTCAGAATTTATATTAGTGCAATTTTACATTGAATATGCCACTGTGTGCTTATAAAGACTCAATTTAGTCCAGAAATAAAGTACTTACGCAAGTCCCACAGGTCCAAAAAACATTCACTTCCTTCATCATAAAAGGTTTGTAATTCAGATTCTAATTTTTGCCTGGGAAAAAAAACACTTTCGAATCAGAGCAAATACCCTCATTTCTTTTGTAGCCAAAGACTGGGGCAGAGTATGAGATCTAAAGACATTCAATAATTTAGACAAAATGTAGTTACTATTTTTCATTTCAAGGATCCATGGAATATTTCATCTCTCTCCTCATCTTTGTTTCCTTTTTAAAGCTACAACCAAACAGTGAGCTGAAATCTTTATTGACAGGTTCACAAAAGCCACTGTACCATTTCTTCAGTGAAACATTCATTGGGCACACTTAAAAGATTTATGTATTTAATATTTTCAGTTCCACCAACCATCCCAGAACTCTTCATTTTGCCTTACGTTTTATTTTCCCTACAGCCAACTTATATCTTTATCTCTCAGTCTCATATTTCAGCCGAACTCACCACTGTTGACATGCACCTTTCTGCCTTCACTTCCTATTTTTTCCTGTTGCATGACTGTCCAACCCTATTGCTACCTAATATATTCCAGCCTAGGTTCACAAGTCTGGTATCTCTATCTGTCCTGCATAGTCTTTGCGAGCCCCAACATTCTCTCTGAAATGTGACACTGCCTTTTACTTTGTCCTGCCTCCTTGTTTTAGATTTTCCCTAGATACATTCTTCTTGCAGATCCCGGAACACAGAATTACAAGAAAAGTTAAGTTTGCTGAGTATATGTAGTGCCTTCAGAAATAAGAACTTTGTGCCCTCTACCTATTTGGCTAATTTAGCTTTCCCCAAATTCAGGGAAGCCCGTACACTAGCCCAATTCAATGTCTTGTCTGCTGTGTTCTTGTAATGGAGATATCAGGGAGTACCTTATCAAGACCATTTATGTTCCTGCAATAGTGGAGAAGTGGACATTGTAGGACATGTTCTTTTATACATTATTTCTTTCTGATCTTTCTGATCATATTACTAATAAAGTGGCCAAATTCTGTGCAGCTGCCATAGCTTGCCACAGTTCTCTCATAACACACCAGCATCCCCCTGTCCAGTTTTGGATACTTGTGACATAAATTTTACATACTTTTATGGATTCATTGTTTAACATAATGTATACTGCATGTTCTGTTTTGTTGTGTACCATATACAGTGGTGCCTCGCTTAACGATTACCTCATTAAATGATGACTCTGCTTGACAATGAGTTGCTTAACGATTACCTCATTAAACGATGACTCCGCTTGACAATGAGGGTTTTGCGATGCTTTTGTGATCGCAAAACAATGTTTCAATGGGCGATTTTCGTTTGATGATGATCAGTTCCCTGCTTCAGGAACTGATTCTTTGCATTACGACGATCTAAAAACAGCTGATTGCTGGGTTTCAAAATGGCTCCCTGCTGTGATTAGGATGGATTTTTCGCTTAACAGGCACCGGAAAATGGCCGCCCTATGGAGGATCTTCACTGGACGATTAGGTATTTAGCCCACTGGAACGCATTGAGCTGTTTTCAATGCATTTCAATAGGGTTTTCTCCCCGCTTGACAGCGATTTCGCTGGAACGGATTAACGTCGTCAAGTGAGGCACCACTATAGATTGTTTGGTGCTGGTCTTTGACAGCAATAAATTCAATTCAGTTCAATTCTTCTTGCATATAAACTTTATCTGAGTCCTTATATACCGTAAGCTCTTAAAGACATATGAGGGTAGCTTTTGGGCTGAAGCATCAAATAGCTTTTTTTAAGATGAAGATTTTTTTTAATTATTATGATTCTCTGGTTTATGGTCCTTACCCAGGTTTTCCTATCCCTCTTCCCACAAATGACATCACATTCAATCAATTTGCTCCTATAAAGGTTCCCTAACATGCAAAATCAATTCCTTGTACTTACTGCTCTGACCTGCCCTTGGGATGAGGGCCCTCACTTCCTAGTTCTCATGACTATTTTAGCCAGACCAACATGCTTCTCCATCCTCCAACACTAGACTGCACTTGGCACTGTTTTTATAAATCAATGGCTCCAGCTTGGGAGCAGCCATATAGGTTGCCTGACTATAAAGACGTCTTGATTTCTCTGGTTCCTCAAAGGAGTGCAAGTCGTTCCTTGCATTGACAGCACTCCTGAGCTCTCTTTCTGTGTGTGCACCCAAATATGAGCTTTTAACTCATTCATCGTTCCAATTAAGGGATAATAAATCCGATTAAGATTTTGCATTCTCAGGCATTGCTGCCATCTCTGAAGCCAAGAGGACTCCAGCATAAATCTGACATAAAAAAGATTCTTCCATTTAATATGCATTATTTTATCATGGTAAAATTCATCTACCATTATATATCCAATTACCCTGTTTCCCCGAAAATCAGACCTAACCTGAAAATGAGCCCTAGTAGGATTTTTCAGGATGCTCATAATATAAGCCCTACCCCCAAAATAAGCCTTATTTAAGTGAAACCCTGCCCTCCACCATGGTGCAGCAACCAGAAGAAGATGACATGACTGTACAGTACTTGAATAAATGTAGATGGTGGTAAATGAAAAAAAAATAAAACATTCCTCTTAGTTTTGGGGAAACACATTAGATATAATCTTCTTACAGATATTGGTTAAGTGGTGCTCACCCCCTACAATCAATTTTTCAGTTACTTTACCAAGCATTCCCAGTCTTACCTGTTTTCGTGCAGTCTTTTGTGCTCTGTCCACCAGACTCGTTTATGCTGTTTCAACAGCATTTGTTCTTTGTTAATTTTCGCTGCATGTTCTGTCTTTTTAATCTAGGTATAAAATTTTTTAAAAACAATATAAAATTAAAGTATCTTCTGCAGACTTCTTAGAAGGGAAAAAAAGGCTAATGCTGCACAACAACTATGATAGTCCTTGCAAACCAATGGCTCTCAAATAATCCAAGCCATTACAAAATTAAAAGGTAATTGGTTCCAGAAACAAAGATTTATATACTCCTCACCTTTGCTTTGTGCGGTATCATCTGCTACTCCCTATCTCCCCCAACCAGCAGCTGCCATTCAAATATAATATGAAAGTTCAATGGATCAGTATTATTGCCTAAAAGGGCTAGTATTCTGCTAGAGATTTCTCTGCATGCAACTAACATTGCACAAGTGATTCCAGTATTTGGCAAGGTGTTTGGATGTGCAACAAGTTGTACAATTAGTTGTACAACGAGTCATGCAACAGACACTTCATCAAATAATGAAACTACCTGTGTAGTATTAGCTGCCTGTGGAGAAACCCCAACAGGATGCCAGTCAATATCTATGTAGAAACCAAGAAATGTAAATCAGTTACCATTACCAATTCTCTCATCAAAGAATGGGATTATTCTTTTACAAATCACACGTAAGGGTTTATTATATCACTACAACACCCATACAGTGGGGTCTCGACTTAAGAACTTAATCCGTATTGGAAGGTGGTTCTCAAGTCGAAAAGTTCTTAAGTCGAATCTGCATTTCCCATAGGAATGCATTGAAAACCATTTAATCCGTATCTGCTCTTTTCTGTCCATAGAAACTAATGGGAAGCTGCTATTCTGCCTTCGACCACTAGAGGGGGACATTTTCTTTCTTTTTTCCCCTTAGGTTCAGGGAAGGCAGGGAACACTAAAGGCAGCACTTTAGAACTTTTTTTTTTTTAAATGAAGCCAATTTTAAATAATGTTTTAAAGCATGTTGTGCTGATTTTTTCAGCACAAAGGCACTCAGGCAGGCTTTTTAGGTGCTGAGCAAGCCTCCAGAAGCCTGCTCAGAGCCAGCCGATCAGCTGTTAGGCGGGGAGAGGAGCGGGGAAAACCACAAAATGGCTGCCAGGCTCTTTCTGGGTGTCGGCTTTTAGCTCTTTATATGCAGTTGACTAAATATGCCAGCTGCACATGGAGTTACTCATGTTATCAGATGCATGAAGTTTAATCTAGTATTCACATGTGCACACCCTCTCATAGGACAATCTCTTGCTTTCGTAACTGCAGGCCAGACGTCACTTTAGAATGGAGGGGTACACATAGGATTCTGTGCATTAAACATTTGCTAACAGGGAAATGAAAGCTGAATAGCTGAGAAATCATAATTTGGACATTTTAATGTTATCAAGGCAAAGGCTGACAGAAGCATCTGATTCCTATTTTCACATTCATGTTTCTTTTAGCAAAAGTCTACATATGTTCTACTCCAGGGTTCTGGTGCTCTCTACAAAGTAGAGGACATCAGATTAACATCAGCTTCTATAAACTATAAGCCATATTATCAGATGCATGAAGTGTCACTCAGAATTTCAGTTACCTATGGTACAGTACATTTGAGTATGATTGTGTACTGTGAGATCAGAAGAAATGTAAGAGCATTAAGTTCTCACAGTGACAGCTGCATTATAGAATCTGGATGTGGCATCATTGTCAAAACTGTGTATGTATAGATTTCCTGTACTTCTATTGTTTAAATATGGAATAATCGCTTCAGACAAGATTAACACAAATAATTGTTATCATTACCATATCCCATCCTAGCATTCAGCTGTAGTAAGTAATCCTAGTGACATCAGCTATTTTGAATGGGATCCATCTTTTGTAACATTTCATTGGAGAATGTTTGACAGTTAGTTTTAGAGGTTCTTGGCATTTTATACAGCAATCCTTATTCAACAAAAACAATCTGAAAATGTGCAAAAATTAAAAAATTCCAGATTTTAATATATCTAGTTTTTCTATGTCTCCATGGAGATATTGCCAATCTTCAAGGATTATCACCGTTAAGGACCATGCTTTAGGTTTGTATGAATGGCAAAGTTCTTGATTTTCTCTTCAGAACAATTAACATCTAACCACTTGTCATTGCTCATATGCCTTCCCATGTATTTCCATTACAGCGTACAAAATACCACTCTGGTACTTCTATTACAGGTTATATGAAAACCTATCTTCATCATGGCACAGCTTTGCAATGAATAACTTTTAACGTTTCCTTGACTAGAAAAAACTTGTGAAAAATGAAATACTGAAAGATGCAAGACTAGAATTTAGTTTTAAAGGTTGAATGAACTGAGCCGAATTTCATTCTGACAGCCGATAGATAAATACCAGCTGCCAACATCTTTGACAAAATATATCTGTATCATTAAAAGAACATTATAACATGCAGAAACAGTCATTGCACCATTTCTTCATTGTTACTTTTTTCCTTTTTTTTAAATAATAGCTTCTCCCTGTCTTTTTGTCTTAATGACATGGGGCACCACTGCCAAATGATATAGTCAGACACAATAAAAAGTAGTACTGTCAAAACCTACTCAAAAGGCTTATGTAGTTTTTAAAATATTGTTTCATTTATTTATCTGTAGAAAAGATACAAAAGAACCAGTGATGAAAAGACAAGAAAGTTACAACTGCATGATCATGCCACATGGGCTTTGATTTGCCTCCCCTAAAATTCTGTAACTGAGACAAAGCACAAAAAGAGGCTTTAGCCTTGGTCTAAGACAAGTTGAAACGTCATTGGCAAATACCTGGGAAGGGTAAATTAATATTTATGTTAACTGCAGCGAAAAAAAAAATATTTTTCAATTATCACATGATTCAAAGGCCAATGCAAATTAGTCTGGCCCTTTTTGCTTCCAACTCAGAGTTCTCCCCCTACCACAGGGGTGGGGGAGGGTTAAAGGTGTTCTATTTTTTAAAATCTGAAACAATTTGAATGGTGCTTTCAAAGTGACTGTGTGATGATTTGATTTGTTCTACAAAAGAAGTAGGGTCTGAATCTGGGTCATGTTATGGTAATGTATTTAGACAGGGTGAATATATTATATTTAATATAAATTAAACGATCTACTGATTTTAGCACTAGATCACCTTACCACTGCATTGATACACTAGTTTACTGCTAGATCACTGTCGCACAGAAATTAAAAAAAAAAAAAGATAAGAAAGGAGTGTCAACGATCACCAGCTGGGTGGTATCAAAGAAAGGAGAGCCATGGGCTCTGGGTGCATATCAAATCACATCAGATTAAGAGCCAGTGTGGCCACTGGCACAAAAACAATCTAGGGTCTTGTGTGATTAACAAAACAGAATGCAATTATAAGACTGTGAATCAAATTCAGCTTGCCAGTGTACTCGCACCTTTATAGTCCCACTGAAGACTGTGAACTGAATCAACAGGATTTGCTGACACACTATTCAGCAATTGATTAAAACAGATCTACTCGATGGAATCAGCACATTAGATTTAGGCCTTTGCCTAGCAGCACTCTAAGCATTAGATATATTCTAAAAACTAAGCATGACTTTCAGTGTCTGCATTTAACAATTGTTGTAACCTCTTCACTATCCCCCCAGTATGTAGAGAGATAGACACAAATTGTGTAGCCACACACTTCCAGAATAAAACACTTTCACTGACCATGGCAGCTAATTTCCACGGGAAACGTATGCAGAAACAGGTTGCTATGGCAGGATATGGAAATGTATTTGACATGCAGGTCTCTCTCTAGAATGAGAGGCATCATGCAGATGGAGAATTAGGTACTCCTGGGGTGCTTCTGCCAAGCCCCCCCAAAGCTGTTCCCTTCTAACTGAGAACTTCCTGCAATGCCAATCTGGCACTTTAACTATAAACTCAAAGCACAAAAAAATGCCAGTGCTGAGATATTTTTGTCCCTGTCAGAAATAGGTATCGCTTTGGCATAAGGATTCATGGCACTGCCAATACTGATCTTTCATGCAAAGGGTGACAACACATATAGTCTGTAGAACAGACAGAGGAAGGGAGAGGAAAAACTGGAAAGGAAACAACCCAAACTGGCAGGAGGCTTGAGGCAAATTCTAGTGGCCACTGGGAGGGGCTTGTGAGGATTTAGAAGACACATCCATTCCTGGAAATATAGGCATCAGAACCCTAAGGCTTAAGAAAGTTTGCAATGAACTTCTAGGAAGAACATGAACCATTTGCAGAAACACATAACATTTTTAATGAAATTGGAGTATAGTGTTAAAATGTTCTGCATGGGTTTTATCATGTTCTCCTAGAGTTTTCCATCATGCTTTGATATTGCCACTGCATCCTCCCAGTATCTGCAGTAGGGTTTAATATCAGCTCTGATTTTGTGGTGTTCCTAACTGTGCAGCAGAAGGATAGCAGGTGACACCTTCCCTCTGCCCAAATGATCATGTGGTACCTTTATAATGAAAGGCATCCTTGGATTGACCTTTGATGGAATGTTGCCTTGATCCATGAAGGGAGAAAGGCAAATATTGCCTAATGTGTACTGTGCCCCACAACGCCACTGTAACTTGCTATTATCGCTAAGAGCACAGGAAAAAATAGGGAAGGCTGGAAAATGCTAGGAAGACATTATTGCTAAGCCCTGCTTTCTAAAGCACAACTTGTACTTCTAAAGCACTACTTGCATTAGGAAACAAATTTCAGTGTGCTTGTATTTGCAAAGAAACAACAATTCAAAAACAAAAACAGTACCTTCTCCATTCTTGTTTGTGTGCAACAAAAAAAATTGTTCTTTATCCCCAAAAGCACAGAATCAGTAAAACAAAGCCAGAAAATTAAATTTTTATGAGTATTGGTGTTGGAACTATTTAAAAAAAACAGAGCTGAGGATAAGTGCCATGAAGGCCAAAGTTGTTTCATATTGTTTTCACTCAATTATATAATTTCTCCTCTAGCAGCTAAGATGGCACTCTATGTTTTGCAGTGCAAATTAGTCTATATCATTTAATAATTAGAATATTCTTTTTTTAATGGGTGCAGTTTTGCTATGGGACATAAAATCTCAGAGTCAGCCAAACAGCCCTTAGGATAAAGGGCCTACTCCACTAATATGAAGAGTGAAATGGCTGCCTCAGATAGTTTTTGGGGATCATGAAAAGGTAGCAAATTGTTGTAATTTCATTTATTACTATGTATAATAGAGAGGAACTTGATGAGTTTTCTGCCTTAGACAGCAAAAAATCTTGAGTCAGCCCTGCATGGCTCTAGCCTAAAATCTTCAATCTTTTAAAAAACTTGTTTGATGGGGATGGGACTTCCAAATTAACATGAATGGGGGGAAAACAATGTTTTAACTGTTATTTTCAGATTATTTTGTTGATTTCTGAAATGCAGCTTCTGAAATTTGAATCCTAAATTTTACTGAAAAAGAGGATCATGGGAGTTCTGAATTCTTTCCTGTTTCTTTCATTTGCCCTTTCCTTCACCTCTCATCTGTCAAATTACCAGAGAAAGGTTTAATCAAATAGTGTAGGGAGGGCTGAACATCCATGAGAGAGGGAGGGAGAATTTTGAGTTGCAAAAGAAACTATATTGTTTGGAATTGGTAAATATTTGCTTCAGTCCTTCCTTGTAGGTAGGATCTGCATGTTCCTGAGCTCCATGGATGGCTCCCTCCATGTTGACTGTGTTCTCTATCTGTGCTTGCAGATCCTTTTTCGCCTTTTTCCTGATAGTTTTTTAATTTAGGACTCCCCCTCCCACCATCCAATTTATGTTTGCTTCTGATGCTGCTGCTAGGCATTCTGCCTGTAGCACCAGCTTGCCTCCTTGGGATAATTTTTTAGATTTTTTTTCTTTCCCTCTTTCCCCCTTTTTCCTTTCCTGGGTTATTTTTTGTTTCTTGCTGCTGTGTGCTGGTAGTAAACTCAAGAAAGGGAAGAGAAAAGAAGGCATCAATGTTGTGGGGGGGGGAAGCATCCCGAATTCTAATCAATTTGGTTGGAGGGGACTTGGACTGTATTATTGCCTTTATTTGCTTCCTTGCTTTTTGCTGGTGGGTTTTTTTTTGTGGGGGAGGGAGTAAGGAGCTGGTATGTATGTGTGTTTTATTTTGCATTTTTCGTTTGCATTCGTGTTTGTGCAGTTTTCTTTGTTGGACTGAATTTTAAAAATTGTCTTATTTGCTTAATTTACTGTGGATTGCCCACCTTGCCCTGCTTTTTTGAAGTAGTTTTTAAGTATACTTTAGGGATTTTGAATTTATTCTCTGTTGCCTGCCCTATCCATATATATCTTTTTTTAATTTTAAGGCTTCTTCAGAGCTTTTTGACAAGTGCTAGACAGAACACAAATGGGGAGAGGGGAGAAACAAAAGAACCCAGTGGAGACTGTTACTTTCAGTGTAACTAAAAGATTGGTAACTGAAAGATCCAAAAAGGAATGAGGCACCTCCTGAAAGAATCCGAAATGAATCACACCTGAAAGTTTTCTTTATGCATATCCCTATCATATGTCAGGCACAGGTCCTTAAACAGCACCAGAGCCTCAAAATTTTATTTCAAAAAGTAATTAATTCCCATTCGTGTTTTAATGCCATTCTTTGCTCTTACACACACACAACTTATTGCAATGCTTGTTGCTTTTTGGAAAAAAATATTATTCACTCCTTTCTCTTCAGCCATGGTCACACGAGCCAAATGTTGCCTTCCTATCCCCCACTGAGTTCGTATAATAAATTTGCGGTCATTAGCGAATAATTTACCCAGCAAGCGTGCTAACTGCATATCATTTCTCACTTCTACTATTTTTGTTGCAGATCTTTTTTTAAAAAAGGTTGTGTTACTGTGTGTGTGAATGGCCCTATCACAACTTTTTTGAACTATGGTCACCATGCATGTCCTTTTAAACTTGTCATTTTTTAATTTCCAGAGCATTTGTGTTGATGCTTCAGTTAACTTCTGTCACACCGTGTCAACAAGAAAGTCTAGGCACTTACTGAATTGGAAATACATGGCTCGGTAACCGAAAGTCACGATGCATCTCCTGGATGAAAATACCACAAGACTGCAAAGCCCAACAGGAATATTATTAAAAATTATGAAACCAGAGAGGCGTTCTGCTGCTGTGACTATGACCTTCGACATCTAAATTGCATTCGAGTTCTCAGTAGCTCACCTTTAAGAGGATGTTAACAGATTCTAACTTCTTGGCTTCTGTAATTGCTTGCAGCTGCACATAGTCAACAGGTTTGTACTTTGAACTCTTAAGCCCATTTTTCACTCGAACAACCAAGCTGTCTAAATAGTCCAAATATGTGAATAAAATTTAGCATTGCATTGTTTCCCATCATTACACATTTTATAACACAATCAAAACTTTATCATTTTTGTTGGTTCTGCTACATTTAGAGCGAAATTAACAACTGCAGAAAAGATAACATGTAACAGCTATGCTACAGATAAATTTTATTTCTCTTAATCATCTGAAGTAATGTTTCATTAAAGCATCTGTCCCAGTAATAAAACATTTGAGATGAAGTGCCAGGCCTTCGTAAGTGGGGAAATATAGATAATAAGCTACTCAAACTAAATACTTGATTTCTACTTATTCCATTGAACCTCACTTAAAATACACATATTTGCTATAGCTGTCTGCTTCTGGCAAGAAGCCACCAACAGCCTTAGATCTGGGGTGGGCAACCACAGAGAGCGTGCACGCCACAGCTGTTTTATATTCCACCACACCAGGTCCCTATGGACAACCACTCTTAAAAAAAAATTCAAAAGTGATCTTAGATAATATATCTATGAAGATTCTCAGTCATCCAAGTGAAGTTATCTGGAAGCTGAATCATGGCAACTGGACTTCTTTCTTATTAAGTTGAAACATTTCGCTACTCATCCAAGTAGCTTCTTCAGTCTGAGGAGAGTTGGTAGGAGACCTGATATATAGTCCACATTGGTTTCACTTCCCTCTGGTCAGAACAGGCTCGTTAGATGGGCAAAGGACTGAGGGCGAGTGGAAATCTAACCTCTACAGTCCTTCTCCACCCACTGCCATGGGTCATTAACAGTGGTCTTTCTGGCGTGTCCCGTGATCTTTCTGGGAATGGATGAAAGGGCAGCACGATAAATACCAACTACCAACACTTCTCAGACTGCAGAAGCTACTTGGAGGAGTAGTGAAACATTTCAGTCTAATAAGAAAGAAGCCCATTTGCCATGACTCAACTTCCAGATGATCTTAGATAATAATATTATTGAATCCCTTTAGTCAGATGTGGAATGTTTGATCCTCCAGATGTGGTGGAGCTCCAGTTCTCATCATGTCCTACTGCTCAGCCATGCTCTGGGGGGCTGACAGAAACTGTTTCTATGGCATAATCCTGAACATATTACACTGGAGCAAATCTTACTGGAGAGAGTGAAATTTCTTTCTGAGAAATAATGGTTTAATTGGGCTGCCCACCAGTTTTTTTTCTCATTCTTTACATATTCTGAAAAATCTTTAAAAGCATTGTAATAAAGCTTATAGTGCTTCAAAGCACTTTGCACTGCAGGACATGATACTGAACTTTAATGATAAGTAAGCTGTCAAAGCAGGGCTTCTGGCTTTCCCCCAGGTGCTTCTGTCCAACATGGAAAGAAAGGACAAGTGCATAGCAAGAAGCAAATTTCAATTCACAAATACAGTATATGTATTTCATAAAATATTCAAAGTATACAATATAAGTGGGGGAAAGAGAAGAAAATGATACGATAAACTCAACAAACCTCAAATTTTATATTATCTCCATATACTTAATATGACTAGCTAATAGTGTAAATTCCAGCTGGCTGCACAGCTCAGTGGTTTAAGTCTCTCACTGTGGAGCTAGAGGGTGGGAGTTCAATTCCCCACAGTGCCTCCTGTGAAATGAACCACCCTGTGTGGCCTTCACCAACCTACACAGTTCCAGAGCACACCCAGAAGAAGGAAATGGTAAACCTGAAATATGAGCTAAAATGCAGAGGATGGCTTTTTAAATCATTTGAGCTCCCCTCCCAGGAAAACTGAAAGGCTGAGGATCTTTTAAAATATTTAAAGATATTTGGATTGGGTGGGGAAAGAAATTAGACAGAGGTGGCACTCAAGATTTTTGAAAATGCACATTTTTGGCTGTTTTAATAATAATAATAATAATAATAATAAAAAAGTGTAAAATGTCCAGGAGTGTCAAAAACAAGGAAAATGGAATCTTAAGCGGTTTTTACCTATATTGCTACTCCTGTGACTTGTAATAAATCCTGGAATGCCTCTTTCAGTCATCCTATACCTGTTGAAAAATAAATACACATCACTGTTGTTTAATGTGAGAAAGAATCCCCTTTGAATGTATTTACAGTACTTTACTGTATATAGTGTATAGTGAAGTCTCAGCTGATAAATCACCTATTGATAACCGTATGAAACTGGTCTAAGAATAATATAATCGCTGCCTTGGAATATGCACATTTTTCTTTTTGAGAACACCTTATTGGAAAGGCAGGCAAAATAAAAGTTATAAGAGCTACAAGCTGTACAAAACGTAGAGTCCAAGTCTATCAACATGTACTTGGTATTCAGTCCCATCCCACTGAATCTAGTATGACTTAGTCCTACATACATTTGTACACAATCACAGCTCTAGTGATGCAAGAGCCAATCAGATAAGAATCAAAAATAATGAACCAGACAACCACTTGCACCTTTAAAATTCAACAGTTAATGCAAACTATAGTTACTTGCATTCTCAAAGAAAGAAAAACATAGAACAGTTTCTCGTAATTCCACACTATTAAGATTATACCACTTTTCAAGAACTACTTTCTGTTCATGGATTTAGATATTCGGTAAGTAGATCTCGGACCAAACACTTCGTTCAGAAGATTTCCCATTATCATTGTGCTAACATACTTTCTGTTCATGGATTTAGATATTCGGTAATAGATCTCGGACCAAACACTTCGTTCATAAGATTTCCCATTATCATTGTGCTAACATACGTATAATGGTACAGCCTGCTTTCCCTCTATTAAACTGTAGTTTGTCGACTTGAAAAAGGGAGATATTCTCTTCTGGTATACCATCCTGATGTGCATTCAAGGTATTTCCAGATCACTTGATCAGATCCATAAGGCATTTGAATAATTAAAACTCCTCACATACAGTATACAGTATGAGCAGGTGGTACCAACTATGTACTAGTTGAGAGAAGATCTTTTCCTCACAGCTTCAGGTTTTATAGAGCCCAGAACATTGCCTCATTCAATGTCTTCGCCTCCCATGCTTCAATCTAACCTATGTTCTATTACTCCCGGTCCCCCCCCCCCCCGTGTTTCGTTTCCCACTTTAGGCTGTTATCAAGTGTGGTGAAATTACCGGCTGTGTTGCCATTATACCAGCATCAAAAATACTGCAAAAATCCTTTGCTTTCTCTTAAAATGTTCCCCTCCCTTGGTACACAATGAATTTGTATAGTTTCCTGAGGACTCTTGGAAAACTTCCTGTCACTACCGGCAGCTGATGACTCTGCTGAAGCCGTGGCATATCTCAGAGATAAGAAAGTGAAGGAGGGAGTTGACATAGCTGATCGTGAGCGTCCTCCCATGCGGATGAAGCTGGATAGCCCTCCTGGTTTCCCAGAGACCTTGAGACAACAACAAGGAAAACAAGGACTACGACTAAAATGCCCATGAGAGGAAATACAGCACAGATCTTCCAACACTAACCATAGTCCTTATCGAGAAAGGTATTTTTAGAAGTTGTAATCAGTTAACCATGAACTGTTGGATAGTTCAGTGGTTTAGGCATCTGGCTGCGGAGAAAGAGGTTGGGAGTTTGGTTCCCCTCTGTGCCTCCCTGACAGGGGCTGGACTCAGTGATCCATAGAGTCCCTTCCAGCTCTACAGTGCTAAAATGATGATGATGAACTGCACAGTAATGTTTAAAATACTGAAATGGGGGAAGGAGGGAGGAATGCATAGAAGCAAATGCTACAATTCAGGGTGGGACTGGGGTGAGAACAATGATTGAACATCACTCCAAAAATTTTAAAGGCAAGCAGTTAGCAGGGATCTATAAGATAACCGCAAAACTCAGGCATGTTGCAGCTTTTTCAATAACATGTTCAGAACTCATATTTAGGTCTGTTGTATGGTGCAGGTGCCCAGTAGCAAAGAAACATTACTTTTCACACTGGCACTGTAATTATATAGCAGCACGCAGCGAGGCTATTCAAAGTCGTTACAGGCCTGGTACATCACAGACTGGGAAACTGCAGGGAGGCAGGGGTTTGGTGGGTCACTGTGGCAGCTTTGCTAGACGCTTTGTGGATGAAATCATTCATAGCTGCTCTGACCTGACTGCAATAATTATAGCAGATATGAAGAAGGCTCTTCTGAGGTAATTTGGGGGTATTTTTCTGCTCCTCAGCTCAATGAATCAATGTTCTATCTCAGCTATGGTGAACCTATGGCACGTGTGCCACAGCTGGCATGCAGAGCCCTTTCTGTGGGCACATAAGCCATAAGTCGTTGGATCGCTACTTCCCTCCCAGCCAAACCTCGAGACGGCTGCAGCCGTGGTGCATGCGCGAGGAGACTCACGTGCATGTGCAAAGGGGCAGGGGGGACACACGTGGTGTGCGCACACACTCATGCACATGCGCGAAGGGGATAGGGGGTGCTCACACACACTCATGGACATGTGCGATGGGCCAGGGGCACTCGCATGGCACACACACATGCGCAAAAGGGACAGGGGTGCTCGTGCAGTGGTGGCATGCACTCGCACACATGCGCAAAAGGGCTGTGCAGGTGGGCATGCAGGGGGCGGGAGATCTGTCTCCGAGGCCCAGTCCAGTCAAGGCCATAGATCGGCACCAGACCGGGGGTTGGGGAACCCTGCTGTAGCGGATAGAGTGATGGTTTAGGACTCTGGAGAACAGAATCTGAATCGCTGCTCAGCCATGGAAATTCACTGGGGGAGTAGAACTGGTAAAACCACTCCTTAAATATCTCACTTACCTTGAAAGTCCTATTAGGGCCACTATAAGTTAGTTCCAACTTGACAGCACAGAACACACAGATCCAGTTTATTATTTACTCTAATTATTATATATTTTGGTTAGGCTAGCTTAAAGCTAGACAGATGGCAAACCACTGCCATTACAATTCTGGAAGCTTAAAGGTAAACCCCACCCCAGAAACAAATGTTCCACATTGCTACATCAAGGCTGAAACCTGTTGTGCAGTTATGCAAGTGATACGACTTTAAGATGCAACAGATAATGTCTACGGATATGTCTTTACAGCAATTCACATCAAAAAGTGACACTGTTGGCATATCCGCAACAGGATTTCAGTCCATGAGTTGTCTTTCTGCACTAATGCTTATGCTGAAGAAGAAAATTTGTTGCCACAATTAATCTTAGCGCTGTTATATGCATCTTTAAATCCCATTTGAGTGTGGAAGAGCACAAAACAATGAAGACAATGAAATAGCAGAATTCCTTAAAAAGATTAGATGGGGTACATTGTCATGCTTCATGTAATCTCTGTGTTCTTTCTTTTGCTTTGCTCCTTGGAAAGCACTTTCCTGACGCTGTAACAATGACGGCTGGGAAACGGCTTGCTGTTGACTGTTGACGTGCGTGACTACAGGGCCCAGCCCCTCCATTGGCAGAAGGAATAGGAAATTCTAACCGGAAAGCTTCAGTATTTCCTGCCCTCCCTCCACTACATTCAGAGGAAAAGAAAAACACCAACACCTTGATCCTTGCTAGGCATTGTGCAACATGCTCCAGTTCAAATACACAGTTTCATGTTTTGACTTTTGCAAAGAGCTCTGACACAGGCTCACCAGAAGTTACTGTGGCTCCAGGAGCAGAGGTGGATGAGTGGCAGAACGGAGCTTCAGCCACACAGGCAGGAGGGGAACTGTTGTCATTCTTACAAACACACAACCAGTCAAGTGGCAAAAAAGGAGTAGTTCACGCTGGAGGAACAGCAGTGAATATCCTCTCCTGCTGTATTTAAGGTACGCTGTATGAAAGGTCAGTCAGATTGAACAGCTGAGGTGAAAATCTCACAAGCACATCTCCTCCATTCAGGAACTAAAATCTCAACCACTACAAATTACCGCGTTCCCCCCGAAAATAAGACAGGGTCTTATATTAATTTTTGATCTAAAAACTCATTAGGGCTTATTTTCAGGGGATGTTTTAATTTTTCCCCATGTACAACAATCTACATTTATTCAAATACAGTCATGTCATCTTCTTCTGGTTGCTGCACATTGGTGGAGGGCAGGGTTTCACTTAACTAGGGCTTATTTTTGGAGTAGGGCTTATATTACGAGCATCCTGGAAAATCATACTAGGGCTTATTTTCAGGTTAGGTCTTATTTTCGGGAAACAGGGAACATATTTAATAATGTGCTGTCTTTTTGTGATATTAAGAATTACTGGTAATTTGTGAAGCAACTCCCTCATAGTAGGGTCTGCCCTGTAATTGGCATCAGCTATTGTAAAGGCCAGAACTACGCAGAACGGAGGATTCCCTGGATCCCATCCAAAGCAGCAGCCTCTGTCTTTTCTCTCACACGGTAACACAAAGTACTGAAAACTTAGTAGCAATAGTTCAATAATTTTAGCATCAACACATGACAGGACATTGCAAGCGCTCACGTCTTCAAAAAGCTGCAACCAATTAAATAGAGCGCAGCAGAAAAAATTACTTTGCTCTAATATTACATGATGCATTTTGAATTATCAGGCTAAAGAAAGGTGGTGGTAGCAAGGGATGCTGTTTTTAGCAGTAGGGACCGTTAACAGAACTTCCTCTTTGAAAGGTCTGGCTTCTGCATCTAACCTGCAATTATAATAAATACAGCATAAAGCTGCTGAAGTATACATTAATTAAAGCATAGTCAGGCAACTGAATTCTCTAACCACATATCCATAATGAATAGACATGCTGTGTCTGTATAATATTGGCAGTATTGTATGCCTGGTACAAGATAGCAATGTCAAATACTGTATCACAAAAAGGTCCTGCAACAAATGTTATGGGGCAGAATGCCTCTGTTCAAAATGCCAACCAATAAGCTGGCCATGACTTTTTTTAGAATACTCCACTTGATTTCCACTCCTCGTTAGTGTTCCTTTTTTCATCCCTTCAGCCTGCTCAGTCCTTCCAGGGTTGTGTTTCTGAGGATATCTTAAGGTTTTTCCTGAATATTTTTTTGCCTGTTTCTCCAAGCAATGCTGCTATCTGCTATTAATATCTCAACAAC